CAATTAAATTTAAAATTACAGTATTTTTTAGTTCCCAGAAATCATTAGGCCTTCTCTGAAAGCCTAGAAGGCCATGAGGATTGATAAATAGCTGAAGTTAGAAGCCATCCAATTACCTTGATGTTTAATAATGTCTATTTGCTTTCATTCATTGTTATCAACATGAACTTTTTTAACCCTTGTGTGGTGTTGATGTGTTTGTTACTCAGTGGTCTGGTGGACCCACCACCTTACTGTTTTTTTTAAATCAATACATCCATGACAATTTATGTAAAAATACCAGATGTTTAAAATATCACAAGTGTCCAGTGTAGGGTTCTCCTTTAGCAGCTGTAGCCAGTTAGCAGCCTGTCCATGTTGTCCACCTCACACACACACACACATATACAAACACAGACACACACAGACACACACTCACACTAACAGCAGGCCATGTAGGAGAATAACAGCGAAGAACAGAGCGAAGGACACCGCACCTCCACACTTTTATTCCCGCAGGTTCACAAGTTATACATTCCACCACAATTGTTACAAGTTTGAAAATGAATAAGTACAGAATTAATTCCTAAAATGGTGCTTGGTTCTTTATTACTCTATACTAATAAATTCTCACTCGTGGCTCAACATGAAAGCATCTGCCTTTGAACATTAAGATTCTGGGTTCAATTCCTCATTAGGGATAATAAATGCGTCTGTATAAAACTTAGTAGACATATAATTTAGGGATTGTAATCTTAAGAAATGGTGGTCTGCCCTATAAATCCAGCCTTCTGCTGCATGTCTTTATGACCATGTTCATCAATATGTTAGAATTACTGAATGGAATGGCCAAATCAAATTGTTATTTAGTGTACACCACAGTATTGGACATATTTATGTTTTGTGGAGACATTTTGTTAGATACATTTTATTAACTGAAAATCACATAGCTATCCAATTTCTAGTAAAATTTACATATTCCATTATGGGGATATAGTGAATTGTTCATATGAAAAAAATAAATAGGTTTTGCCCAAAGGTGTTTTGATTCAATTTGATGTTTTTGTTCCTGGGGAAATTATTGTCCATGATATCTGACCATATACTACAGATGTGGAAGTTTAGGTTGAAAAACACTGCAGATGTGAGATTGAAAATGCTGAATAGTTCAGTAAAAAAACAAAATAAATGATAATAATAATATTGCTAAAATGTCAAGAATAGAATGTCAATCATAATAATTATTGTTGCCATTTTTGTGGGATATTTTGTTCTTTGTATCTTAAAAAGAATAAATCAGCAGTGGAGAAACAGAGACAAAAACAAAGCTGAACATAAGGTGGCTTCCTAATATCCATCATCCCCTGGTGTTACACATCTCCAGCAGGAGGGGAGGACAAAACACCCCCCACTCACAATTGATTGTGACAATAACCCACAGTGAGACACAACTGTTAGTCTGTGATTCGGAAAAACCAGACGCTCAGCAGACACCTGACTGAGACATTACTGACTGCCCAGGATGAGCCACTTTAGAACTTCCTTAATGCGTTTAAAATGCCTGACTCACCTCCCCTCTGTGAAGTAAGCCGAGAGCGCGCAGACACATGGAGACATGACATGTGTGCTGATGTGTCGGTTAACCCCTCCCAGCTTCTGCCATGGCTGCAACACAGAATATGCTTGAAGGTGAATCCATGCATCAATTATGCGCTTCCTGCTGCTAAGTGGTTGAAGGACAGTCCAGCAGAGCTGTGACACATAAGATATAGAGAGAGAGCGAGAAGAAAAGCCTTTTGTCGACTACCAATTAAAAGACTGTGCACCTTCAGAGGCATTAGTGTATTTATCTTGGTGCGCAGCTCCCAAGTGAGCATCATTGTATGAACTTAATTAAATTATGCCACATATTACTGTTCAATTAAATAGAGTCAGCATGGGCTTTTTACCTCAGCTTAAAAAGCTATTGCAATTAATATTAACTAATGACAAAGTCAAACAACCACACTGACTCATTTTTGACAGTCAGAAGGTCATTAACTGGGCAAGGTCTTGGTTTTCCATCCACATAGTTTATGTATGGGCAGTTTAAAAAAAAACAAAGCTTTAACTGAACAAATAATCACAATGCTACCTGTGTAACTAACAAAACTTATTGGGGTAGAGTCAGCCATGCATGTAGGATTCAAAACTTCTGTGTAATTCAATCATAGAGTCATTGAGAGTGGTTTGATATAAAATAGTATGATAATGAGAAGGGCTGGAGTGGGACTTTTTTCAGACTAGGAGTTACATGATGCAGACCAGCCCACAACAAACTCTACACACACACAAAGTGAGTAGGCAAATTGAGCAGATACAATTTCAAAATGCTAATTTCTAGCAGTTTCATTACACCAGGCTTTTAGGCTATATAACAGCAGCGCAGTCGTCACCCTACATATTCCAACACCTCTGCGGTCATACAAAGCAATAGCAGTCAATCAGAAAGCTGGAGTCACATAAACACAACCAACACCGCAGCACCTTCGCTATGCATCATGCGTCCGTTCAGCACAGGCACATCTTCTATGCAGAGACGATGACAAAACAAAGTTAAAGTCAGATCGATGAAACGTACAAAGGTGAGGAAAAACAACACAGGAAACTTTAAAACCTAAACCTGATTATCACATGTAAAAGCACATTGCCACAGCGGGCATGAAACACGCTTATGGTCCATTTATGTCTTACCTGTACCGTCAGATGTTTGCTTTGACATTTTCACAAATGCCATGCCAGCTTTTGTAGTAAAAGAGCACTGTAAGTACCAAATTTAAAGATGACTGACGATGACAACTGTTTCACATTTGTTTTTTTTTTGCTTTGAACAGGTAGAAAGCGACATACACTGTATGGACAAAAGTATTGGGACGCACTTCTTAATTACTGAATTCAGGCATTTCATTCAATCTCATTGCCACAGGTATATAAAATTTAGCACATAGCCATGCAGCCTGCCTTTACAAACATTTGTGAAAGAATGGGTCATTCTAAAAAGTTCAATGAATTTGAGTGTGGTACTATAGTAGGATGCCACCATCACCACAAGTCAGCTCGTGAAATTGCTTCCCTTCTAGATATTTCACAATCAACTGTGAGTGGTATTGCTGTTGCAGATCATGTAAAGTTACAGAGCGAGTTGCCGAGTGCTGAGGTGCATAATGCATAAAAGTTGCCAATACTCTGCTGACTCAGTGACACAAAAGCTGTGCACCAGGAGCTTCACAGCATGGGTTTCCTTGGCCAAGTAGCTGCATCCAAGCCTTACATCAAAAAGCATAATGCCAAGCGTTGGATGGAGTGGTGTAAAACACGTCGCCACTGGACTCTGGCGTAGTGGAAACGTATTCTGTGTAGTGATGAATCACGCTTCTCTATCTGGCAGTCTGATGGACAAGTCTGGGTTTAGCAAATGTCAAAAAAAAAATTACCTGACTGCATTGTGCCAACTGTAAAGTTTGGTGGAGGAGGGATAATGCTATGGGGTTGTTTTCAGGGGTTGGCCTAGATCCCTTAGTTCCAGTGAAGGGAAATCTTAATGCTTCAGCAGACCAAGACATTTTGGACAATTGTAGCTTTTCTGTTCCAGCATGACTGAGTCTGGGTGCACAAAGCAAGGTCCATAATGGGGTGGTTGGGTGAGTTTGGTGTGGAAGAACTTGACTGGACCGCACACAACCCCGACCTCAACCCCATCAAACACCTTTGGGATGAACTAGAACGGAGACTGCAGGCTCTCTCGTGCAAAATCAGTGTCTGACCTCACAAATGCTCTTCTGGATGAATGAGCAAAAATTTCCACAGACAAACTCCAAATTTTGTAGAAGCCTTCCCAGAAGAGTGGAATCTGTTATAGCTGCAAAGGGGAGACACTCCATATTAATGCCTATGGATTTAGAATGGGATGTCATAAAAGCTTACACTTGTAGGTGTAATGTGTAGGTGTCTCAATATTTTTGAATGTCCCCAGTTAACTTATATCATTTAATCACAACTTGATGAATTAGTTGAAGTTTTGATAAAATAGTAAAATAGTGATAAATATGTAAAATGAAAAAAAAAAACTTTCTTTGGGTTCTACTCTGTTACATGTACCTCTCCGACCTGAATGGCTCTAACAACAACAAAAACAACAAAAAGGCCAAAATCCTACCTCAAAGCTATCACAAAACAATATCTCAGACATCATTCATAACTGTTTCATGTTATAATTTCTGTGAAGTGCTTTTAGAGGCATTAAACCCTCCAGACGTCTGGCTTCTGCTAAGTAGCTCTTATGGTGTATTTCACATCAAACCACTCTGGCTGACTTTGTTTACAACTTAATGGTTTGATTTTGCAGATTTTTTGAAAAATCAGTGGAATCCCCCTTTTAGTCTCTAATCCGCTGTGATCCACTAATGGATTTGTAACCCCAGTGAGAATAGTCTCTGTTTCCTCTCACCCTTTTAGAAGTAACATCCACATGGAGTAATTTACGTGTATTTTTATATCAGGTCGTGGGTGTGTGGTCAGACCAGCTCCCACGCAAATATCCTTAAAAATCGACTAGATACGTTTTTAATGATTTTATTTTTTTCTACAGCAGCAGGAAAGACAACTTTTATGCAGTGCACAGAAAAAACAAATCAGGAATAGCGTAAAACTCATTTTTGTTATTATTAATGCATCTGTATAAACATTTTATTTTGTACATTTTTCATCCAATATATTCAGTTTTCTCCACTACAAAACGAATGAGATGGTTTAATTCATGATAAGTCTGTCCTGCTTTTAATAAACCTGTTCACACTTTTTTCCCTCCACCCGTATTCAACAAGCCCCGCCCGCGTACAGCTCGTGCATCTTATTGGTGGAATGCTTGTGAGTATGAACTGTCAGCCAATCTCAGCGCAGGGGGCGTGGCGTCTCTGAAAACTGGTGGGAAAAAAATAACAACACGGTAAGAGAGAAGCAAACGCTCCATTCATTATCGCTGTGGCTGAGGGAGGAAGAAGCAGCAGGTCCGCGGCTCATTCTCCGGGAAGCAGCCTGCTGTTCTTCAGCCGCTGAGAGGATAACACACTTGTGTGAAACACACACGCACACACACACGAAAAGGCCGGTTACCTCACCAGAAATACTTGGGTGAGTCATCCATGCTTCTACTTTCAGTTGTCCTGGTTTTTAAACATGTGTTTATTATGTGCTGGGTTTCTAATGTGCTGTAGTGCAGTGAATGTTAGACAGATACCAAAACAGCAAATCTAGAGAAAAATGTGTGAATTGAAACTCGACTTTTTTTCTTTTATTATTTTCTTTTTTTTTGTCATTATTTTCACCTTCTTTATTGTTTTCTTCAGTCTGTCACCAGTGACTTTTTATCATTAACACACTGTGCACTTATTTAAGCAAATGTGAGTTTATATATGAGATATAGCTAATATGGCCTGTGTATTAGAGATAGGAGCTGCCACAGAGTGACTCTTGCACGAGGTAGTAGGACGAACGGGCTTGCATTGCTTTGCAGGTGTTTTGTGAAATTATAGTTATATGTGAACACAAAAACAAGACAGAGTGAACTGAAAGTCTTCATACAGCTGTGCTAAGTATTGATAAAGTTGATGTGAAATGCAGATGTGATGCTCATGCTGTTGCCTTGCTGGCTGGCAGCGGATGTGCACCAGTGTTGTGTCTGAGCTGCGCTGTTTATGTTCATCAACAGTGCTTCTAAGAGTGTGTGGGTGTCCTTTTTGCACTCCCTTTTACAAAAGAGTGAGTGTTATTTTTAACCACCCTTTGTGAGTGATAAAAGTGAGAAAGTGTGCTGTTCTGACAGATGTGTGGCGCATGGCAGTGACTGAATGCACCTGCCATTCATCAAGGCTGCGAGTGGACAGACAGTCAAAGCAGAGTGAAATGACCAAGGCGTTCAGCACCTCTCACTGGAATACTGAAACTAAGGAGGCTTTGTCACAGTGACAGTTTTGTAAAAGTATTGCTGAAGTGAGGCAAGTATGGAGGGAATTACTGTAGTGGAGGGATGAAGATGGAGAGGAAGAGGCTTAATTTTGTTGCCCATATGAAGACAGGCAACTCTTCATGCTTAAAAATTCTCAGTATGAATAAAAACACCATGTGTTGGGTTTTGCACTGCTATGTGCTTAGAAAAAGGCTTTTTCTAAAAGGCTATTATAGTGCTAAAATTTTTTGGGTGCACTATAGAACAATTTTCATCTATACAACCAGGTTTTTCTTCATAGAAGAGAACAATTTAACCATGAAGAGAAATGTTTGAGCATTCAAATGGTTATTTGAGGGTTCACATTTCTGCATATGAAGTTTCGTTCCAAAATGTTGTACATCCAATTGTAACAAGAAGTTTGAAAAGATTGAAACTGACATAACATTCTTTGTCAAAAACACATTTTTATTAATCAAATAAAGGGTGGTATTAGTAATAATATAGTAGTGACATTTCATGTATGTGCAAAGTCCACTCCCAACAATGTACAGTGTTTATTGTGTTTTGGGAGAGAGCCTTTCATATAACCATTGCCATAACTAAAGAACCCTTAAAGAACAACTTTTTAAGGGTGTAGAAGTGTTAACTGTGGAAGGTGGTGTTGAAATAATGGATAGCGCTTGGTGGATATTATCAAACACAGATGAACACATAATAATAATCATTTTATTTGAAAAAAACATGATTTGCTTCAAGTGTTTTGAGATCTTCACAACGATACAAATAACAACATACAGATTACAGTCGGTGTAATGACTCAAATCACCTTGTGATACATGTATCATAACACTGTTGAATGTGCCTTCAAAGATGTGTTCAGCTGTTTCAGATCTCTTCAAATAGTTTATGGATAGTCTACAAAAATGGACTTGACTTTTGCTTTGAATTACACTATTACACTGTATTGAAAAACATTTTGAGATAAACTCTTATTTGGCGGTACATGTTTCTGTTTGGCTTTTCAATGAGAAACAGTTCTTCTCTGACCATTTACAGTCACAATTAAGGGACACGAATGTCTATTCCAAAGCAAAAGAATGCAGTTAGGGTAGTTTTAGTAAGTAGCTGTGTTAGCTTAACTGTGATATTGTTTATTAAGTTGATCTGAGATCAATTTTGCCATTCAGTAAAGACAACAGTGAGAAATGAGGAGCCTGTTTGAAAGCAACATAATGTGGAATTTAGGAGGAACAGATCAAAATTGAAACAGATGTGACTTTGATTCTTATGCATTATGTAAAAACTTTGAAAGCATGTGTTGCTTTTAGTTACGTTCAGTTACCTTCATTAAAATGGTTATACTATTCTTTAAGTGGCATCCTGCTTTATTACACTGAAAGAGATGTGTCTGTCTCTTTCAGTGTACATAAGACAAAAACAAGAGGATGCTTTTTGGATCTGATGATGTAGGAAGTTGTTTTTGAGTTAATACTGCAATGGGTCACATCTCAGCTCTTTCAAGAGGTCACACAGGAACATCTTATTTGTCAGCTTGGCCAGTCTTGCCCTTCTGAAATTTGCCATTGGTTAGATAGCGCGAGCAAAGCTGAGTGTGTGCCCAATGAAAGCATCACTGGTTACAAGGTATGGAGCTCCTGGTGATTGAAAATAGATGATGTGCGATAAGCAGAAGCTCGCTATTCTTGCAGCACATGGGCATTGTCAATTCTCCATTTTGTCCCAGACAAAAGCGCCCAGGCAGTGCCAGGTGTTGTAGCCCTCTCGTGCGGAGCCAGCTGATTGATTACCCACATGCTCCGTTTCTCATGGAGATGGATGGCAGATTCAACATGGCTGCACTCAAAAAGCTGCAGACAGTCAGCGGCTCTTCAGCAGCACTAATCAAACAGCCTCAGGGGAATTTAATGCATGAAAAAAAACAAAGGCATGTGTGAATAGAACGAATGAGGGTCTTTTTTTCCCTCCTCTGATAGCAGCCTGTTGATATTCTTCTCTTCTCATGTAATAGAAACCACAGGCTTTTTTCCCCTTGTTTTGCTCTGCTGCCTGTTTTGAATGTGAATGAAAGGCGAGCAAACTGTCACAATGGGCAAGATGCTGTCAAATACATTTAGCAGCTGGAGTCATCGCATGGTGCCCCAGGCTGTGTTTGGACATCAGAGGTAAATTGTCCATGCACTTGCCTAACATGTTACAGTACATGGATCTGACAGAGTCTGGAAAACAAAGGATGACATAACTAATGCAGAGCAATAGGACTGTGTGTGTCGTTCCAAACTCACTGTTGGCTTTCAACTGGTGAGCTTGCTGTGTCTCAGCGATGAAACAGGTGGTCTTTCCACTGGGGCAGTGGGTGGCTTTTGACTCCCCTTCTATTTACAGCATATTGATCTTGACCAAATCTGATCTGATGTTGAAAGAGGTATAGAGAGTTCATTTCATTATCTCCATAAGTGAGTTGTTCATAGTCAGTTTGCATAAGCCCTATTTTTTTATTCATAATTAGGGATTATTGACGAGATGTGTGATTTGAGTCCAGTATTAATCTATAACATCTGTTTACAAATCTGACAAGTATCATTTGTGAATTTACCTCTATAATTGGCCAAACCCAGTGCTTCCTCAGTGACATAGTCCTGTTAAAATTGATCTCATGATACTGTTATAAAATCATCTGCTAATGGGCACAGCCTTGTGCCGTGTTGTTATTGTTATTGAATTTGGCATGTGTAACAGAACTCTCAACTTTGACATCAGAGCTATGAAGTTTCAATACAGGCAGTCAGTGGGTATTTGAGGAAATTACAGATACTTTAGGTCTTGAGAGTCTGTATAAATTATACAGGAGATTTGCTCAAAAGAAGCCCAGAATATTCTGTAATAACTCTTGCTAGGATGAAGCAATCTGTACAAAACAACATACAATGTGCTCCTCAGTATATGGAGCTTTGAACAAGCCAGGATGCCCCTGCGCCAGAGCGATGAGGCAGGCGCCGGACAGCTGACGCGACGTTTAACCTTCGTTTGCAACTTCCGGGGACTTCATGTGTCTGGCAGAAAACGGAGATCACTTCCAGCATCACATGTAATGCAATCCATGACACATACGTCAAGGTTTGTAGTGTATTTTTTTGGTTCAGATTGCTTCATCCTAACGGGAGTATTCGGGGCCTCTTTCGAGTGAATCTCCCTGTATTACAGAACCTTCTGTGGTAAATCTAATCTGGCCCAAGCAGTGCTATAGACTCGAACTCTAGAATGGCTGTGGAGGCTATTAGTTATTGTTCAAGTCATTGGCTTAGTCTTAGCTGATGGCTGTTGCCACGGTACCCTTGAATAATTGTTCAGAAGTAACTGCTTGTCCTCTCCTAATAACCTTTTGAACCAAATGGTCAGCTAAATAATAATGTTAAATATGCACAAATATAGTCTCCAAATTTTTTGATCAATTTTTAGTTCTTTGTCAAACTTAGGAGGGATCCTGATTCAAATGCAGTACAATAGTAATGAGATATACTGAACTGAATATCAGATGTTGACTTGATTACACTTCTCAAGGCATTGGGTGCAGTGCATCTGTCGACTGGGTCATAATGAAATCACTGATGTTCTAACCTATGCTGATCTGTGTGTATTACAGAAGACTCTTGAGGTCAGAAGTTTAGTGTAACCAGCTATGAAACCCAAGCTGTTAATACGGTCATACTTTGCCGTTTAGCTGGTTGAAAACCAGCTTATATCTCACAATGCATCTTATGTGTATTTATGATGCTTTCATTTCTCCACCATCTACCATACGCATTATCTGTAAGACCATATAGAACCGTTTCCAGCGTTCCTCATTAGTCTCAGTCACAGAGGCATAGGTAGATGCTTCAGTGCCAGTTGTCACCCATGGGGACTATCCTGTTTTGATGCAAGGTTTCCTACCCTGTATTTATTTTTGCCAGGATATCCTCATGAGCAGGTGGTGCAGTCATTGTTGTTTTTATCCTGTAGTTGTGAGATGTGAAGAAGATAAGACAGCTTTGTAGTTTTGGATTTAGAAAAAAGAAAAGAAACTACTAATGGTTGGGACCAATTATGTCCCATGAAAGCAAGACTGGGTTGATACTGACTAGCAAAATGATATCTGAATTCTATTGGTATCAGTAGACATTTG